AGGGGAGCAGAAAAGTTGCTGTCCTTTTGTTCTTCAGTCATGTTGTGGAGGACGTCGCTTCACTGGCCCATTGTGATCATTGCACTCTTCCAGGGCGAGGCAGTCGGTAGCCGGCCATTGAATGGCCACTCACAGCGGCTCACAGCAGCTCACGCCGGCTGCCAGCCACTCACGGCAGCCCAGCTCCAGATGAGCTGTTCACCATCTTAGCTGTAGAGGGCACAGTGTCACTGGCCCATGTGGGATCCGAATCAGCAGCCCTGCTGCTCAGAGCTCGCGCTCCCAAGCCAACTCTTAACCAACATGCCACTCGGCCGGCCCACTTACCATCTTTTAAAACACTTGTTCCTTATCCAGTTGGTTCAGTCACTGCAGCTGAACTGGGGCCTCTAGGGGACCCCCTCCATACCACAGGGCAGGGCTTCAACTGGGAGACATTGCTGTAACAGCAGAGATCTCCTTGTAGGGATGAGATCATAAGAAAGCAAAAGGGCATTGGGAAGGAATTCAATAGGTTGATTTTTCTATTAGCCTGATGGAGAAAACACAAAAGGCTTCCCACTGTGCCTCCTGGGCTCCTGTCCTCTCTCTCTATCTGTGGCTTTTACCTACGCCAGTCTGCCCTGCTCCCATCCAGAATCCAGAGGTCACTGGCACCTCTTTTAGCCTTGGGTTCTTTAGTTATAAGAGTAAAAAAAAAAGATGAAGTCTAGCTCTAAGATTGCTTCCCAGTCTAAAATTCTGTGATTCTATAGCTTCCCTGGAATCAAAAGTGCTTAAACCACAACTCTGAAACGCAGAAGGACCCTTACATGCGAGCACTGCATTTTCATTCTCTTAGCGAGTTGACTAACGTGAAAGTTTCAGGCTGGTGGTTTGGCCCACAGATGACAGCGCCTCCTGCCTAGGCTGCCCATGAGCCACCCACTTCTGTCTCCAAGTAATATTTAGACACTTAGAACAAACGTGCCGTAAAAAGAGATGCATTTCATACAAAAGGCTTCATTCCAAGTGATTAGAGGGAGTCTTCTTTAAGGAACTCTCTCTAGGCACTTGGAAATGAAAGCCAACGTCCCAGTAAAACAGGTAACATATCAAAGATCCCACTCAACCATCACTCTCTACCTGCCTCCCTACCCCTCCCCACCCCCACTGTACTCCCAGTTCACTGATCCAAATCATTGGTTTCAAGCCCTTTTTACTGCAGTCCCCAATGAGAAATACTCAACACTTACACCACACATAGAGAGAGATTGTTATTTACAACTGAAAAAAAAA